CCTAATTTTATTAGCTAGAGGACGTAGATTTAGGGCAAATAGCCTCAGAATAATGTTCTGTCCCTTGTGCCCCAGTCTTAAGGGCTCCTGAAAAAGGGGGGCACTAGGACTCTTTTGAGAAGCAACTTAAATTCAGCCCTTGAGTGGGCTGACCTGATATTTTTTGGCATTTTTTTTTTTTAGTTTTGGAGATTTAAGAGGCAGCATGGAAGCCTTAAGCCTTGAAGAAGCTTTACAAAGCATTCTTTAATGCTTTCCTTGCTATGTTGTATAGCATTGGTTCCTCCAGTTTTTCGCTATTAGAATAACCCTTCATGGTGAATTAGCAATAGCAATAACATATGCTGCCCCATAGAATTCTAAGGCAGGTCTTATAGTCAAAGCAAGTGGAGAACAGGATGAAGCTCTTGGGAGTAAGGGCAGTTCAATGCAAGGAAGCCATAAGAGATGAGTAATAACTCAGTTGGGCAGTCAACATTTTTATTCGGAACCAAAAAATTATAACTTACATTGCAAAATCCATCTATTTAAAGAGGGATGATACTGATGAGGGTAGCTTTGCATGACATGCTTACCTATGCTTAAAGAAAACATAATATACTGAATTAACCTAATCATCTTGGTTCACAAAACAGATAGAACCAAAATGTAACCATATAAACCAGGCTTGCTCAAGTTGCTGGGCAAAAGCAAGGTCAGCTACTATGTGGTTCAGAGGATTGCGTGAAGCCAGCCTCTGTGGCATGGAATGCCAATAAGAAGCTAAACAAACTGGATCTCAAAACAAATGATCTTCTGGAATTATGACCAAGACAGCTTGCTTTATGACCATAACATTTCTTAATGACTGCCAATAAAAGTGTAAAATCAGGTTGGTCATGCAGGTGACTTCCTTCCTTCCTTCCTTCCTTCCTTCCTTCCTTCCTTCCTTCCTTCCTTCCTTCCTTCCTTCCTTCCTTCCTTCCTTCCGTCCTTCCTTCCTTCCTTCCTTCCTGGCAGGTGAGTGATATTGACTTCCAGATATTGCATGGATGGGGGAGGCTTATACTCCCACCAGATTACCCATTGACTTATGGTATTTGGCAAAACCAGCCCATAGTAAACAAGTGATTTGCTTAACGAACATGGTGCTTTCTGAATGACCAAGGCAGCTGCTTTACGACCATGACATTTGCTTAATGACTGCCACTAAAAGTGTAAAATTGGGTCAGCCTTGTGGGTGACCCACTTTACGACCATCTATAATGAGCAGATTCCATTATGGTTGTAAGTTAAGGACTACCCATACTGCTTAATTACCAGTAGTCCTTGCTAATGTGGTGAAGGCTGGTATCTATTTCAACTCAGAAGTAACATCAGTGAATTCAGTGGAGGCGATCCCAAATAAGTGGTGTTCTGTATCATGTTTCTCAACTTAGCAGGTTTAAGAATTCTGAGAATTGAAGTGCACACATTTTAAACGTGCCCCAGTTGACAAAGGCAGAACTATATAATTGTGGTTCCTAGCAAGCTTTTTCTGCTCTTCTCTAGCTCTTTGGTTCTGCTTGCAATTTAAACAGAAGATTAGAATGAATTCTGCTGATCAGTCCATCTGCTTTTCTCACAAAGAAAGCCCAGTAAGATGATGACAATTGAAAACCCTAAAATTAGTTTCTGCTTGAATTCTAACTCAGAAAACTTTATTGTGTTTATGTGTGTGGGTGTTTTAATTGATATTTTTTTGAATTGTAAAGTGGAGGGGTTTTTTTTGGGTCTCAAATAATCTTTTGCATGAGGAAATCTCTCTGCTTTACTTCTGGGTTAGTTTTGTGTTGAGATTCATACCAATCTGTCACATGCCTCTATGGTTTCTTTGCTTGGCTTTACATGGGGATTGTGCTGGTAAGTAGCAAATCCATTCATTTCTTGCCAGGCTCATTTTGAGAGAAAACAAACCCAGATAGCCTTGACCTATAACCCTTCGTTTAACAACTGGTTTGGGTGGCATTGCGGTCCTCACATTTAAAACCTGTAGGGCATCCCTGCTGTCACACAATCATAATTGGGGGGGGACATGCTTGGCAATTTGCATATATTTGCAACAGTTGCAGTGTTCTTGTGATGGAATGTAGTTGTGGGAGGAAAGGGCTCTTTTCCAGAGCGCAAAGAGACAGTAGAGCTTTGCAATGCCTGATATGCAGGAAGAGAGCAAAGACAGACCCCTCTCCAGCAGTTCATGGAGTATATTTACTGAACAGTTATGCAGATAATCGCTTGCGAGATTTTTGTCCATAAGCAAACAGCAATAAAGAAACTGCTCAGAATAACTCCACTTGTCATTCTTGGGACTTGACAGTAGTAGGGTTACACAATCACCATTTGTAACCTTCCCAAGGGGCTTCCGACAAGCCAGCATGGGAGGCTGGATTCACTTAATGATTTGCTTTAATGATTGTTGCAAAACAGATCATAAAATTGGGTGCAGTGCAGGTAAAGATTGCATTGCTTGGCAATGCTTCCAACATTGGTTGTAAATCAAAGACCATTCAAGTAGGAGTGAAAAAAAAAAATCTCACTGGAGTTCTGATCCTGGCTGGTCAGCCTTGAGGCACCAAATTACCTTAGATAAATGGTTTGCCTTCTTCTGCCTCTCTATTACAATCCTGTCATTTGACTGTAAATACAGTGATATGCATCTGATAATGCATAAGTTTATAACTCTTGGTGTTTTCTGCTGAAGGAAAATAGCCATCTTGTAATTATGCCTTTGTTTGGACTTGTCTTCCACTGTTGCATACTTCCCATGAAATGAGATTGGCAATCTGTGTTCCTATTATTGATAACAAAACCATGTGTATTTTACCCCCCCCCCCAAAAAAGTAACAAAATCAAGGAAGTTCCATGAAACTTGTGTAGTAGAGAAGATAGAGTTCTGGACTTGGGCTCAAATTCCTGCCAGCTGCAAAGCTTTGCGTTTTTTTTTCTTTATTCCAACCAGGATGCCGTGACCCTGAAAACTCACAACTAATTCATGCATTCAGCCAGTTTGGTTTTTAAGCCAGATCCAGTGGTTTTGCCTAGTACACAAAATGGTGTTCAATAAACCAAAGTAAAACAATCTGTAACTTAACATAATTTTTAAACCCAGCCTCATTCTTCCATTCCAAAACCACAAGGGCTTGTGTAGACACTGCTCAGTGATTTTCTTTTGGGGCACTATCATTTGGATACTCTTCAAAAGCCTTCAAAATATCTGGGAAATTCTTATTCTGTGAAAGCACCCAGGATTTCTGTTTCAGTGAACGGTGGTGATTTGAAATGTTTCTTCATGATAATGCCACGACTGTTACAACCTGGAGAAGTAAAGCTTGTTGGAGCGTTAGTGCTGTCTAGTGGCCGATGCTTGCCTGCCTCTGTTTCATAGATTGTATAGGATTCCTGATTTTGGATTTTATAACGAGATCAAAGCTGTTTTTCAATCGAATTTCTAGATACCAAGTTATGTTCATCTTATAATAAGAAATTACTCACTCAAAAATGTAGTCAAATATTCCAGTATCATTGCAATACATCTTTGTGTTTTATCTTGTTAGTCATATAAATATGCAGGGCAGGGGTTTGTGGGATTGTGCTTTTGTTGTGGCAAAATACACACACACACACAGAACCAGGCTAATTTGGCTGGTATCTCAATGATATCGTTTTCTAATGCAATATAATGTATAGTATCTAAACTGCAGTATTAAAAATGTTTGGCAGAGTAAAATTGGGTTTGGTTTGTATTTTTGTGTTTTTATTTGTGAACTGTCCAGAATTAATTGGATTTGGGCAGTATCTAAATTGAATCAAAAAAATGAATTGGAGAGTATGTTTTTTCAAAAACTGACCCTTTGTATGATTTGCAAGTAATAGCACTCTAGAAAGTGACTATGACTAGTAAAAAAAACTAAATAAAAACTTAACTCTCATGTTTCTAATAATTCTCTCCATTTATCATATTAAAATTATAACTTTCAGGACTCTGGGGTCACACCTAAAGTTTTGGCAACCTTAAGTTATGAATCTCTATGTTGGGTTATATCAACTAAGCCAAAAGCTTGCAAAACTAAGTCCCTCAACAACCATTTTAAAAAGTGGGTTATTTTAAAAGTTACCTGATTAATTGGCAACACTTTTCTTTAAAAAGTGAAACATTTTAATTGCTCCAATTGAGTTACTGATGAGTGGTGTAAAGCTATTCATGTCAACTCAAAAATAAATCCCATTAATTTTAATGAAGTTTCTTCTAAGTAATTCAAAAGATTGTTAAGTTTGAAGGTGATAGGAAAAGGACATTTATGAAAAGTAATACTTTTGGTTAGAAATTGAAATTGATTAGTGTACTTTATGCATGTAGAGTTTACTTTTTATAGACCTTTCCTTTGGTTTTTGCATACGCAAAGAAGCATTTCAGTCGTAGAAGATCACAGGATCACCTTACAATATTAGCAGAAATTGTAAAAATGCATAAACAGTATTGTAAAGGCAGATTCTTTTTGTTTCCCTTATAATCAAAGACATAAGCAAGTCAATCTTCCTAACCTCTTTGTAGATAATACATTGCTCACCCAAGAAAATCCTTTGATGTTTACCAGATGCTTCTCAGTTTAGCTGGTATCAAAATGCCCAGTTTTGCTTTTAATTTCTGATGGTACTGTCTGAAAGTGACCTCAGTAGAGAGAAGACTAAGAGGAGATTAAGGTACAGGTTCTCCAAAATTAGGAGATGGTATTGTTCAAACCCTTTCAATATTGCCATGTAGATATGCCATTAAAAATATTTTTTGGGTCAGGGTGAAATAGTCATCCTTGCCTACTTAATACAAAATGCAATGCCCACATAGTTTAGCCGTAAGTATCACCTTCAATATTCCTTTTACTTATACAGAACAGAACAGCCCTATCAATACTTAAAACTCACTGAGAAAAAAAATATATGTTCAGGTACTCTCGGTTTCATTCTGTTCTGTCCCTTGTTCACAGGTACCAGTATTATCTTCAAGTAAAAAAAGATGTTATTGATGGACGATTGCGATCTTCATTTGAACAAGGGATAAGGTTGGCGGCACTGGGCGTTCAAGCCACATTGGCAGCTCAAGGTACAGGAGCACATGTGCCCATTCTTTCCCCATCTTATTTATTTATTTAACTATAGCAATACATTCCTATTAAACTGGAGATGGCAACTCCTTAGGGAAAACATTGACACTGATCTGCATTCTTAAAAGCTTAATACTGTATATTTTGGAAACATTAGTGGCATTAAGTGGCAATAATTCCTGAAATAAATGAGTCATCCATTTGAATGAACCATTTTCTCTTTTTACTGAAGAGGAAGTTTTTAGGATTCTTGCAAGAAACTGAGAATGAAGATCATAATTAAGGTGTATTATAGTTTGAGAATATCCTAACATAGCATGCAAATACGTAATTATTTTTGTACTAATGCCATAAGTTGGATACTCATCCAAATTTATTAGTGAACTACACTAGAAAAAGGTTAGTGGATCAGGGTTAGAAATAAATAGGATGGGGCTTGAATTCATGATTCATGTCTTTTTCCTCCACTGCAGCATTAGAAAGTGAGTTAAAAAGAAGACAAGTCATGTATCTCTTTAGCTATGCAATCTTCTGTTCTGCTTCTACCATTTTTCATACATTTTGCATGTAATCAGTGGATTTCTGCAAATGTGTTTAAGCAATGGATTTTACAAATATACCAAGTTTCCTACCACGTTTATAAAGCTCAGGCTTGCAAACTCCCTTCACCCTTTTAGCACACTAGAGGAAGACTAATTAAAGTTACCCAGAAATCAAACTGAGAAAGCTATAGATTGTTTAAAATGTGTTTAAGAGGAATAAATTAAGAAAAAGGCAGTTTCTGCTTCTGGCTTCTTCTCACTAACCAGAATTTAAACTAATTTGTTGCCTTTAAACATTGTAGTCATAAAGGAATGTTTAGTATAAAATAGGAGAGGATGTTTGTATCTTTAAAATTAGCTAAAGCTTTATCACAGATGAAATCATTGTTCCATGTATCAATTAAATGAGGCATGTGCTTTCTCAAATCATATTTGTAAAATCTTGATTATGGATTGAAATGAAATAAGTCTTTATTATCAGAATGATATGAGCATTCATAAATCCATATACTCACATTTTTAATTTTATGCTATTGTTCTTGACTGATACACAGAGAATTCCTAAAAGCTTTTCTTTAGTACTCTATCATTTTTGTTGTTTGTATACATATCACCTTAGTGTATTCAACAAGTTTATATTTATTGGTTATAAAAATGTATATTTATGATGTGAAACAAAACGAAATACCATGCAATAATAATGTCAAATTTCCCTTATGGGTCTACAGGAATATTTTGTTTGGAATAATTCATAAGGGGAATTTCCAGTACTGAAAATCTTTTTGGCAGACTTTACTCAAATAAAATAAAAAGAAAGCTCCTGGGCATTTTGCCCCTCTGTCTTAAGCATGAAACTGTTTAAAAAGAGATAAATGGAGAACCTTTCATAAAAATATTGTAAAAGTATATTTTTAAGAATAAGTACTTTAAGAAGTATTTTCACTCTTTTTCTCCAATTCTGAAACTTACAAAAGCAAAGGAAATCTTTGACAGGAATGTCTGTAAGGAACGTCCTTGAGTGAATCAGGCAAACAATACACCAGGCACGCTCCAGGATCCAACAAAGTTTATTTCACGTTGCAGGAAACAAAGTTTACCCTGGGGGAGGCTCCAAGCCCGCGCACTATATGCCGTCCCGGGCTACACCCATAGCACACACCCTCATCAAGCCTTATAAGGAAACCCCGCCTATAATCCACCCATCCACCCCACCCTGTGTTAACCTCCACCGTAGCAAGCCCCATGAAACAAATCCTCAGTCAGTCAGTCCCACAGCAGCAAGCCCCGTGAAACAAGTCCGGTTCCCACGCCCTAACTGATATTAGATCCTGTCAGACCCAGCGTCAATGCATAGCTCCTGCCCGCAACCCCCATTCCGTTTTGGCTTTCACGTGATGTCGTCACATGCACATTCAGCTGGCTGCACGCGGATCACGCCGGCGGTGTGGGTGCCGTTCCGCCGGAACCGCTAGGACGCGTTCGCCGTCGGCGCAGGCTGGAGGCTGCAGCCGGCCAGGTTGGCAGCGGCCAGGGTGGTAGTGTGCTGGGTCTGACATTCGGCTTCCCCTCACCACAACTCCCCCTGAAACAAAGGTAATAGATGAGTCACCGCGTGTACCTTTTGGCCAGATACACCAATCAACCGTCCCCTTGCCCCCGCCGCGCTCCGTGTTGTACCCTTTTGTGATACCTTTTAACTAGCTCGGGGGCGGATACATCCCCACTCAATACCCAGGAGGCTTCAGACAAAGGATACCCCTTCCACACGACCAGGTAGTATAGTCTATTACCCCGTAGTCGCGAGTCAACTATGTCCTCTATTTCGTACCGTCCTGGGGTGACAGGGCCTGGGGGTTGTCCATGGGATGTCCTCCCCACCGGCTTCAATAAACTTACGTGAAATGTCGGATGCATTTTTCCTAGAAGCTTTGGTAATTCGAGCCTCACTGTTACCGGATTGATGATTTGTGCTATGCGAAAGGGCCCGATATATTTTGGTGCCAGTTTCTTGCAGGGGACCTGCAACTTAACATATTTGGTTGATAAGTATACTTTATCCCCCACACGGAATTGGACCGGTTGTCGACGTCTCTTGTCGGCGTGGTACTTAGCCACCTGTGTCGCCTGGTCTAATGCCTGCCTTACATTACGCCACACCTGGCCTGCTCGAGCAAACCACCCCTCTGATCGGTGTAGAGGGGGGTCTGGTGACACACAATCGGGTAAGGGGACCACATCATACCCATAAACAACCTGAAATGGGGTTAGACCGGTACTGTTATGCACTGCATTATTATATGCCAGTTCAGCAAATGGAACATAGTCCACCCAATCCAGCTGTTGATACGATACATAACAGCGCAGGTACCGTTCAATGGCTGCATTTGCCCGTTCCGCCGCCCCGTTGGTACAGGGGTGGTATGCCGAGCTCAATCCTTGTGTGGTTCCAATACTGGCTAGGAAACCTCGCCAGAAGCGGGCTGTAAACTGCACACCACGATCTGAAATAACTCGACGGGGTGCCCCATGTAGTCTGTAAATATGTTGTACAAACAATTTCGTCAGGCGTTTTGCAGATGGCAGACCCTTGCAGGGGATGAAGTGGGCCTGTTTAGAAAAAAGATCCACCACTGTCCAGATCACCGTGTAACCCCTCACGTTTGGCAAGTCCACAATGAAGTCCATCCCGAGATCCTGCCATGGCCGGTCCGGGTCCGATACCTGTTGTAGTAAGCCCATGGGTTTTTTCGGTACCGTTTTCGCTTGAGCGCAAAGGTGACACTGTTTGACATATTCCTCAACATCCTTCCTCATCCCTGGCCACCAGAATTGACGTCTCACTAGATGGAGTGTCTTTACGAATCCAAAATGGCCGGCCGTTTTCGAGTCATGACATCTGTGGTACACTCGGTTTCTTAGTGCCAACGGAACGTATAGCTTATCCCCATACCAGGCCAACCCATCACGACGACTCAAGACCCCAGGGTTAGCTAAAATCCAGGGGTCTGTTAACAAAGCCGATCTCAGCCCATCCTCGAAAGCTCCTAACTGTGCACCCTTCTCAGGCAGGCCGGGACCCGGATCACACGGAGGTATGATAGCGTGAATCACCTGCTCTCTGTTACTATTGTACTGTGGCAGCCGGGATAGCGCGTCGGCCAGGAAATTCTTTCCTCCCGGAACGACTTTCAGGTGGAAGTTGAACCGTTGGAAGTATTGCGCCCATCGCACATGTTTGGGTGCTAATCTTCTTGGGGTTTGGAGGACCGCTAGATTTCGATGGTCTGTCCACACCTCGAAGGGATGCTGTGCGCCCTCCAGCAAATGACGCCATGTCGACAGGGCCCATTTCACGGCAAACGCCTCCTTCTCCCACACTGCCCAGCGGCGTTCCGTGTCCGTGAACTTTTTGGACGTGTAGGCGCACGGTTGTAGAAGTCCGTCTTTATTACGTTGCAACAATATCGCCCCAATGGCGACATCGCTGGCGTCGGCCTGTACGACGAATGGTCGGCCTGGATCAGGGTGTATCAGAATGGGTTCTCGTGCGAATAGTCCCTTAAGGGACTCGAAAGCCTGTTGGCAGGCCATAGTCCAGACAAGAGGTTGTCCTGGGCGAGGTTTTCCGGCTACTCGCTTGGTGCGCAACAGCTGAGTCAGCGGCAGGGCCACGTCGGCGAAGGAGGGGATGAACTGCCGGTAAAAGTTTGCAAATCCTAGAAACCGCTGTAGCTGACGACGGGTTTTTGGCGCTTGCCATTCCAATACGCATTTTACTTTATTGGGATCCATTTCTATCCCTGCCGCCGACACTCTGAAGCCAAGATAGTCAATACGCTCCTTGTGGAATTCACATTTCGATATTTTACAGTACAACTGAGCGTCTAACAATTTTCGTAGGACTATGCGCACCAATTCCACATGTTCTTCTAGTGATCGTGAGTAGATTAAGATGTCATCCAGATACACGAGGACACCCTTGTATAAGTGGTCGTGCAGCACCTCATTGATCAGCTGCATAAACACAGCCGGGGCCCCTTGTAACCCGAATGGCATTACTTTGAACTGATAACTGCCTAGCGGACAGTTAAAGGTTATTTTCCACTCATCGCCCTCCCTGATGCGAACCCTGTAGTAAGCTTCACGGAGGTCCAGCTTTGTGAAGATGGTTCCAGTAGCCAAGTGGGTCAGAAGATCTTTTATAAGGGGCAGGGGATACACCTGTTCTATACACACCGCATTGAGACCGCGGAAGTCGACACATAATCTTAAACCCCCATCCTTCTTTCCCTGGAACAGTACAGGGGCGGCCATCCGGGACCGTGCTGGTACTATAAATCCTCTGGCTAAGTTCTTATCCACGTACTGCCTCATCTCCTGTAACTCCGTAAACGTCATTGGGTACATTCGGGCCTTTGGTAGTTTCGCCCCAGGGATAAGTTCAATCGCGCAATCTGTACGCCTATGGGGAGGCAGGCTGTCGCACTCCCGCTCACTAAAGACCATAGCAAGATCCTCGTACACTGCTGGG